CTGCGCGGCCTTGCGCCCACGGAGGCCGCTGCTACGCCCACTTCTCCGGCCTCGTCTGCGCCTGCGCCCCCGGCTACATGGGCGCGCGCTGCGAGTTCCCGGTTCACCCCGACGGTGTGGACGACGGCACCGGCGCGTTGCCCGCGGGCCAGAAGCACGGGGATCCACAGCGCTTTCTTTTGCCGCCGGCTTTGGGACTGCTGGCGGCCTCGGGTTTGGCTGGCGCCGCGCTCTTGCTGGTCCGTGTGCGCCGCCGTGGCGCTGGCCTGGATACTGGGTCTCGCCTGCTGGCCGGGACCCCGGAGCCGTCAGTTCACGCACTCCCTGATGCGCTCAACAACCTGAGGACGCACGAGGATTCCCGGGATGGCCTGAGGTGAGGACTGGGGGCTGCTGAGGTCTCATCGCTGTTAGCTTGTTGGTATCAATCTCTAAAGTGCAATTGGCCGATTCCTTGATGCAACTCCCTTTTCCTGGCTAGTTGGCTTTGGGTTCACCTGGAAGGAGGGGGCAGAGAAGAAGAAAAAAATAACCGAGAATTTAGAGGAGGTCTTTCTTTCCTTTTGTAGCTTGTCGGGAGATTGGAATAATCCTGAAGATGGAGACCCCCGAGCGATTTATGTCATCCCTTCGCCTTCGATCTATGCTCAGGAGGTAGCTGTCCCCCTGTCCCTCCCCCCCCCCCCCCACCCCCTAGCCCCTGCTTTTTCTCTAAGCCTTCTTTGCTCTTTGTGAAATGAGGTGGGTAGAGACTCTGGAAGGTCCTTAAGCCCACTTTTCAGTTCTGAAAGTGGATAATAGCGTTGGATTTCTCTTGCTATTTGAGAAAAGAAGGCACAGTGGGGGGCCTCAGCCAGGGCTGCTCTGAGAGAAGGAGGGGGGCAAGGGGAATCCCTTTCTAATGTGTCCTCCTCGTTTTGTTTCTAGGCCTGATCTGATCCTTCTCCATCAGCACCTGGAGACACAGCCAGGACAGTTTTGTTTCCTGAGGGTACCCATGTCTATGCCAGAACTTTGGAATTCAAGCTGGAGGGAGTGGCTGGGAGGACGTTATTGTTGGAAGTTGTACATAATGGTTATTTATATCCTATTTTTTTTCCTGCTCCCCATCTCTCCAGAGACATCTATAAAGTACTTATTTTCATCAGTTTTGACTCATGGGGCTGAGTGCTTTGTATTTGCTCCTGGAGCTGAGGGAGAGATTCTGTCTCCTAAGGAGAATAGATTGGGGCAGGGGTGGGGTCTGGATGATGGAGCACAGGAAAAATGTCATGGTTGACCCACCTGGGAAGGTTCTAGGTTCGGTTCTGGAGTCCACGGTTGTCTGAGGCTGGAGGAATACCATGGTGTAAAAACTGTTGTTGCAGAAACAGACTGCGGAAAAACCAAGCACCACTCGGAGTGTAGAATTCAGGTTTATTGTGCTGGCAGACCCAGAGGACTTCACACTCCAAGTTCCAGGCCCAGAACGAGCATGACAGCAGACTTATAAGGGCTCGTGGGGGGAGCAGGGGAGAAGGAAAGTCAGGTTTGAACTGACTTGGGCTGATTTCATGGTCTGCAGTTGCTGGGCCCAGTCGCTCACATGCAGAGTGTCTGGTCGGACTGGCTTGGGCTGATCTGGCTATCTGTGGTCTGTATCTACTGGACCCAGACCCTAATACGGAGCTTATCAGGGTGATCACAATACAGAACATTCCTGGGGCATTGCAAGCAGTTGACAGAAACAGAACATCATTCTGTTAAGCACTTACGGAAATGAAAAAACAGTTCCCTGCAGAACAGAATCCATATCACTCTATTGGCGGCCCTCTCTCTCTGTATCTTTATTTTTTATTCTCTTTCTCTGTGTCTCTCACTCCTACAATAAATACATAAACTTAAAAATTAGATACAACTCTTTTAGGGTTGGCTGGTGGCATGGTGATTAAAGTGGCTGGATCCCACATGGCTGAATATGTGGTTCAAGTCCCAGACCCAGCAGCTTGAAAAACACACTGGTTATCAGTGTGTGCATGCCCCAAATCCCAAGAGGAGAAAGGAGGAGAAGGGATCGTGGTGTCACCACCCCCCTGGAGGGTGCTTTTTCACATTCCCTGTCTCTCTCTGCCTGTCTCTCTCCAGTGAGCACATGCCCCTTGTAGAAAATTAAAAAAAAAAAAAAAAAGGCTGGGGACCAGCTCCTTGGCTTGTGGTTAAGGCAGCTGGATTCCGCATGGCTGACCGTGCAGTTCGAGTACTGGACCTATGTTTGACAAACACACCAGGTGTGTGCCCAGAATCCTGACAGGATGGAGATGGAGGAGAAAGGACTGCAGAGAGACCATGCACCCAGGGAGTGATTTCTCACCTTCCCTTTCTCTGTCTCTCTGGCAAGTGCGAGCACCCTGTGGCAAAAACTTTAAAAAACAAAACAAGGGAAGAAAACCCCACAAAATTCAGAACTTACAAGTTCATAAAAATGAAAGTGCCTGTAGAGTGGGTGTAGCTTCAGGCAAGGCTGGACTTAGGCTCAGTTTCTTTCTGTTTTTGGCCCTTCTCACTCTTGGATGGACTTTTTTTTTTTTTTTTTACAATAGGGCATGTACGCTTGCCAGAAAGACAGAGAGAGACAGAGAGACAGGAAGCGAGAAATCACCCCCACGGAAGGATGGCCATGCTGCAATCCCTTCTCCTCCTTTCTCCCCTCAGGATCTTGGGCACGCATGCACATGTGCCTAGCATGTTTAAGCCATTGGGTCCGGGATTCAAACCGCGGTCGACTACATGGGAGTCCAGCGACATAGCCATTCTGCTAACTGCTAGTTCCACTCTTGGATGGACTTTAATCAGAGCTAGGCTTTCATTGGCCCTGGCTTGTCATGAGGCCACCCCTGAACTAGTTGTCAGGCAGTATGGCTCATTCCAATTGGCCAGACTTGGTAATTTGCCTGCTTTGTGGCAGAAAGTTAGGTCATCTGCCTAAATCACATGGAATGTGTGGGTAAAAGGGTGTCCCTGCCCTGGGAGAGGGCAAGCAGGCCAACAGACCACCTTACAAGAAATATAAAGGAAGTTCTTCAGGCCGAAAGTAGTGACCTCAGACAGTAATTGGAATCCATACTAAGAGACAAAGAGCACTAATAGAGGCAATTCACAGTTAAAAAGTATAGGTATGGGGCTGGCAGGTGGTGTAGTGGTCAAGGGGCTAGACTACTATATGGCTGACGGCAGATTGAGTCCCGGACCTGGAAGCTTGAAACTCATACCAGGCATGTGTGCGTGCATGCCCAAGATCCTGAAAAGGAATTATTACGTGACCATCCTCCAAGGCAATGATTTCTCACTTTTTGTCTCTCCAGCTCTCCGGTGAGCACATGCTCCCTATAGAAAAAGCTCCCTTAAAATAAAAAAAAAAAGGCCAACAGGTGGCGTGGTGGCTAAGGGTGCTGGATTCTCACATGACTGACAGTGGTTCAAGTCCTGGACCTGGCGGCTTTCTTTCTCCCTTTCCCTTTCTCTCTCTTTGTTGCTGTCTGGTCAAATTAAAAAATAATAACAAATGGAATTAAATAAATACATTTTTAAAAAAGGAAAGAAAGAAAAGTATAGGTGCAGGGCCAGCTGGTGGTGTGATGGTTAAAATGGTTGGATCCCACAAGGCCAACTACACTGTTCAAGTCTCAGATCCAGCCGCTTGAAGAAAAACACGCAGGGTGTGCTTGTGTGTTCCCAAACAATCCCAAGAGGAGAAAGAAGCAGAAGGGTAAAGGTGTGGCCATCACCCCTGGGAGGTATTTCCTCTTTTTCTCCAGGAAATCTCACCCTATAGCAAATTAAAAAAAAAAAAAAAAAAAAAAAAAAAAAAAAACTCCCCCTTTTTTCTTTTTTTTTTTTTTTTTTTTTTTTTTTGCTTTCTCTCTTTTTTCCCCTATCCAAGTTTCAGGTTTGGTTCCCACGTGAAGTGCGGATAAAATTTCAGTTATGAGCTATGGACTCCCAAGTGTAATATGGTGTTTCTTTTCAAAAGACATTAAAATGACATAAATTTGAAATCATTATGAGCCAGGATTAACAATTACTTTTCAATCCTATTGGCATCTGGTCCGAGTCCAATGACGTAGCCATTATGCCAACTGCTGGTCCTTCATTTGACATTCTTGTACCACTAAAAACAATGAATTAAAAGCCTAGGGGGCTGACAGGTGGCATGGTGGTGAAGGGTGCTGGACTCCCACATGGCCGACTGTGATTTCAGTCCTGGACCTGGCGGCTTGCTTTCTCACTTTCTCTCTTCCTTTTTGGTCAAATTTAAATAAATAAAAAGTTAAAAAAAAATTATTAAAAAAAAAAAAGCCTAAAATTATTCAAAGATCATTCCCTCTCCAAGGGGCTACTTTAGTGCCCCTCTCAGGAAAGTAGCAACTTGGAATAAAATCTGACATACCGAATGTCTGGGGGTCAGGGAGGCCAATTTCGTTTGCCTGCCTTCGGCTGGCTACATGTGTGGAAAAAAAAAAAAAAGAAGAAAATCCTAAAATGAACAAAAGTCAGGTATCAGTTCTGCCACTTACTAGGATAAGTCATTTCACTTTTCTGTGTGTTAATATCCGTATGTGGAAAATTGGAATAATAATAGAATCTGCTTTATATCATTGTATTAAATAAGTGTACAGTGTTTAAGGTTGTTGGAAAACTCATGATGTGTTTTTCCTTTTTTGAAAATAATTATTTTATTACTTTATTTATTTATTTTAATTTGACCAGAGAGGGACAGAGAGAGAGAGAAAGAGAAAGTGAGAAAGCAAGCCACTAGGTCGGGGATTCGAACTACAGTCGGCCATGTGGGAGTCATGCTGGCCCCAACCCAGCGTGACTTTCAAGCTGCTAGGTCTGGGACCCAAACCATGGTTGGCCATGTGGGAGTCCAGCACTTTAACCACTGCATCACCTAGTCCCTCTTCTATTTTTTAAAAAGGATTATTTATTTAACTTTATTTATTTATTTATTTAAATTTTACCAGAGAAGGACAGATTGAGAGAGAGAGAGAGAGATAGACAGAGCGAGAAAGTGAGGTCCAAACCACAATCACCACATGGGAATTCAGCACCCTTAACCACCGGGTCACCTGCTGGACCCCCTCTTTCATTTTTAAAATTTATTTCTGAGGCTAACATATGGTGTGGTAGTTAAGGCCCTGAATTCCCACATGATCGACTGCAGTTCAAGTCCCAGACCCACTGGCTTGAAAATCACTCAGGGCGCATGTGCATGCATGCCCAAAATCCCAAGAGGAGAAAACAAGGACATGGAGCCACGTGGTGGTGTGGTGGTAACATTAGACCATGGGAAAGATCCTGGTTTCACATCTTGGCACTGGGACCTTTGATCTGGGCTGGCTAAATCTAGGGGGTGAATTGTGAAGACCCTGTTAGGAGTGTGTCCCACTTTCATAGAATAAAGAAATACGTTTGAAAAACTCCAGGACAATCAGGACCAACCCTTAGTTTTCCATGTGATACTAGGTAAGTTTCTACCCCTTTCTGGGTGTGGATCGTGGTATCTGGACCCTCTTGGGGGTGCCTCTCTCTCTCTCTCTCTGTCTCTCATGGAAGAAATAAACTTTTTAAAAGATTTTTTTTAAGTTCATGGAAAAATTAAAGTTTGAATTTATTCTGGTGCTAAAAGTTTTGAAACCCATACATAGTATTTCCTTTCTTTTTTTAAAAATGTATTTAATTCCATTTGTTATTATTTTTTTAATTTGATGAGGGAGAGAAAGAGAAAAAGCGAGAAAGCTAGCTTCCAGGTCCAGGATTTGAACCATAGTCAGCCATGTGGGAATCCAGTGCCTTTAACCACCATGCTACCTGCTGGACCCCATAGTATTTTCATAATGTGTACTTTTTTTTTTTTCTCTCTTTTTTTTGGAGAGATTTTCACTGTAGGGCGCGTGCGCTCGCCAGACAGACAGAGAGAGACATAGAGACAGAAAGCGAGAAATCACCCCCCAGGGGGGATGGTCACGCCGCAATCCCTTCTCCTCCATTCTCCTCTTGGGATCTTGGGCACGCACGCACACGCGCCCAGCGTGAGTTTTAAGCCACCGGGTCCGGGACAGGAACCGCGGTCGACTACGTGGGAGTCCAGCGACATAGCCATTACGCTAACTGCTGGTTCCCATAATGTGTACTTTTCGAAGACCCTCCCACATACATATTTAAATTATATAACTACATGGTACATATGAAAAAACACATATATGGGGCTAACAAGTGTTGTGGTGATTAAGGTGCTGGATTCCCACATGGTCAATCAAAGTTTGAGTCCTAAATGTGGCAGCTTGCTTTCTCACTTTATCTCTCTCTCTCTATCTCCCTCTGATGAGCGCATGTGCCCTGTAGCAAATTAAATAAGGAACCAGCAGATGGTGTAATGGTTATGTCACCGGACTCTCATGTAGTCAACTATGGTTTGAGTCCTAGACCCTGTGGCTTAAAACTCATGCCAAGCATGTGTGCACGTGTGCCCAAAATCCTGAGAGAATGGAGGAAAGGGATTGCAGCGTGGCCATCCCCCCCGGGAGGTCATTTCTCACTTTCTGTCTCTCTATCTCTCTCTCCGGTGAGTGCATGCACTCTATAGCAAAAAATTTTTTTTTGTTATTTGTTTTATTTGTTGTTATTATTATTTTTAATTTGACCAGAGAGGGACAGAGAAAGGGAAAGTGAGAAAGCAAGCCATCAGGTCCAGGATTCGAACCCTGGTTGGCCATGTGGGAGTCCGGCACCTTAATCATTGTGCTACCTGCCAGCCCCACTAAAATCTCTTTAAAAAATTAAATAATAATGATGGACAAACAAATAATTTAGAAAACAACAATTTTTTTTGTAGAGGTTTTGGCCTGAAGGCACAGGTGCTTCCCACAGAAAGAGACAGATGATGAGAAGGAAAGTGAGAAATCACCCTCCAGGGGGGTCAGCCATGCCACAATCCCTTTTCCTCCATTCTTCTCCCAGGATCTTGGGCATGCACACACATGTACCCGGTGTGAGTTTCCAGCCACCAGGTTTGGCACTCAAACCCCGGTTGGCCATATGGGAGCTGGCCCAGAAAAATAAAAAGAAAGAAAGAAAACAAAACACATATACATTTTAATAAAAAGACTGTATGGGCCAGCAGGTGGCATTGAAGTTAAGGCTCTGGATCTCACATGGTGGACTATTCAGTTCAAAACCGAGGTCCAGTTGCTTGAAAATCACTCTGGATTTGTGCATGCGTGCCCCAAATCCTGAGGTGACTGGAGGAGGCAGGATTGGGGCGTGGTCACTATCTCTGGGGATTGTTTTTTTTTTCTTTTTGGAGAGGTTTTCGCTTTCGCTATAGGGTGCGTGAGCTCGCCAGAAAGACAGAGAGAGAGAGAGAGAGAGAAAGAGAAAGTGAGAAATCACCCCCCAGGGGGGATGGCCACGCCGCAATCCGTTCTCCTCCATTCTCCTCTCAGTATCTTGGGCACGCACGCACACGCGCCCAGCGTGAGTTTTAAGCCACCGGGTCCAGGATGCGAACCGTGGTCGACTACGTGGGAGTCCAGCGACATAGCCATTACGCTAACTGCTGGTTACCGGGATTGGTTTCTTACTTTGCCTTTCTCTGTCTCTCCCTGGTTAGTGCAAGCACCCTGTAGTACACACACAGAAAAACCCCCCTCAAAACAAGTAAACAAAACGAAAAACTGCCGTTGTGTGTGTGCCAAGTTTAGGAGGTATATGTGTGTTCAGAGCCCCCCAGAACAATCTCAGGTTTGGAAGGAATCACAGAGTTTCCTGAAAGCTGTTACATTCATGATCATGATCTGTTTCATCAGAAGGATCAAAATCAGCCAAGGGGGCCAGCTCATGGGCTGTATGTTAAGGCAGCAGAACCCTACGTGGTCAGCTGCATAGTTCAAGTCCCAGGCCCAGTGGCTTGAGAAACACACTGGGTACATATGTGTGTGTGGCCAAAAATCCTGAGAGGAGAATGGAGGAGAAGGGATTGCAGCGTGACCGTGTCTGACGTGGGGGATGCTTTCTTCTTTCCCTCCCTCTCTGTCTCTCGGCAAACACATGCCCCTCTAGCAAAACAAAACAAAACAAAAAGTCAGCCAAAGGAAGAGGGTCATGGCAGTGTTTTGGGGTCCTCTCCTGGTGGAGTCCTGGACAGCACTGACTTCTCCCAGTAATGATGCAATGAAGTGTCCAGGGTGTTGCCAACGGAGATCACACCTGAGTCTCTGGGGCTGGCGTGTTTACAGGGGCTTGGTCAAGTGTGGCTGACAGCCTCTTGAAGCTGAGCTGACACTGTGCAGCCCAAAGCCCCACCCCTGTCAGCACGGACCACCTAGCATGCCACTAGGCCATTCAAAACCATTCATATTCTAAGATATTCTTAGAGACCATTTCCCAAGGGCAAAGTCCAGATCTCTCCTTGGGCAAGATTAACCCTTTACTGCACAGTGCCTTAGCTAGAACTCCTTTCCCTGAGTCACAGGGCCTCCAGATGGAGTCTGGGGGTCTGGAACTGATTATGACCCTCAGTGAATGGCCACTTGGTACACTTGGTACACATTCGCTCTTCTCACTGCTGTGTTTCAGCCCCACCCAGGCACTGTTGGTTCCCTGAACAGCCAGGTTTGTTTTCTTTTTTAAACTTTGTAACTATTATGTTTTTTTTTAAACAGGAATTTCTATACAAGTTTTTTTTTGTTTGTTTGTTTGTTTTCAAGCACACACACAGGTTCTTATTGAACTTTTATTTATTTATTTTTTTTGGAGAGGTTTTTGCTACAGGGCGCGGGCGCTAGCCAGACAGAGACAGAGAGACAGAAAGTGAGAAATCACCCCCCAGGGGGCATGGCCATTTCTCCTGCATGCTCCTCTTGGGATCTTGGGCACGCACGCACACGCGCCCGGTGTGAGTTTAAGCCACCCGGGTCGCGGACTCGAACTGCGGTCGACTACGTGGGAGTCCAGCAACATAGCCACTACGCTAACTGCTGGCCCCTGTAACTATTATGTTTTAAAACTTGCTGTAGGGTGGAGATGGCAGGTGGCATGGTGGTTCAGGGCACTGGACTCCCACATAGTCACAGACTATGGTTTGAGTCCTGGACCTGCCGGCTTCTCTCCTTCTCTCTTGCTGTCCTTCTCTGGTCTAATTAAAATAAAGTTAAACAAAATAATCCCTTTTTTTCTTTTTCTTTTCTTTTTTCTTTTTTTTTTTTGCTATAGGGGACATGCACCCCACCAGAGGGAGAGGGAGCGGGAAAGTGAGAAAGCAAGCCACCAGGTCCAGGACTCAAACCTCCGTCGGTCATGTGGGAGTCCACAGTGCTAATCACCTGCTGGCTCCAGCCAGGATTTTTCCTCTGCTTCCAGCTGACTCCCCTTTACTTAGTGAACTTTGCTTCCTTTGTTCACTCCATGAACATTTACTGAGCACCTACTGCTTGGTTCTAGGAGCTGAGGATATAGCCATGAACAAGACAGTCCCACCTTGAGGAGCTCAGTTGCACAGAGTAGGCCCCAAGGCTCCGCAGCCTGGCAGCTGGAGTTGGAATCCCAGCTCTGCCACTCACTGGCTGTGGTGTGTAGCACGCAGTGTTGTCTATCCATATCTCTTGTCTCCCTCCCTAGGAAGCCTTCTCTGATTGCTGCAGACTAGTTACCTGTCTTCTGGGTTCCCAAAAACCACCCCTTCTCGGTCCTCCCCTCTCCCTCCGGGACCACTCAGGGCTGACTCTCTGATAAAATGGGTATGTCTCTGGGACCAGCAGTTAGCGTAATGGCAGTGTCGCTGGATCCCCATGTAGTCCACCGCGGTTCGCGTCCCGGACCCAGTGGCTTAAAACTCACCCCGGGCGCGTGTGCATGTGCACCCAAAATTCTAGAGGAGAATGGAGGAGAAGGGATTGCGGCGTGGCCATCCCCCCTGGCGGGTGATTTCTCGCTTTCTGTCTGTCTGTCTGTCTCTGTCTGTCTGGCGAGCTACAAAAAGAAAGAAAGAAAATGGGTATGTCTCAACCGGACAGGGAGCCTGGGCAGGGCAGGGCCCAGGCTTTCCTGATCATTGCTGCACCCCTTGGACACAGCAGGCACTCAGTAAACACACTGAACCCCTGACGACAACTACAGCTGCGGAAAGCGCTGACGCAATCTGCGTGTTTTACTCTGGTGGTTGGGGTTCAAGGCTGGGGAATTACTGGGCGAGATCACCCGCATCCGCAACCTGGAGCCCGCCTACAAGCTCCGCCCCGAGCGGAACTCGGTGTAACAGTGCCCCCTTGTGGTCGCCCCCATTTTAGAACCCGGGGACGGGGGAGGTTCTCCTAGCCCGCGGAAGGAAGGCAGGGCGGGACTCTACACCCGGGTTACCCGGGTCCACCTGGTCCCCATGAACAACCAGGCTCGGGCCCCAGCCCCCTCCTCTGGCCGGATCTCAACTCTAGTCCGGGCTTCGACCCCGGTCCGAACCTCAGCCCCGGTCCGGACCTCGACGCCGGTGCGGACTTCCACCCCGGTCCGGATCTCGACTCCGACCCCGGTCCCCACCCGGATTCCGGTCCATACACCGATTGCGGCCCGGACTCCGACTCTGGTCCAGACCCTGCCTCCAGCCCAGACTCAGACTCCGGTCCAGGACTCGACCTTTATCCGGACTTCGACTCCGGTTCAGATCACGACCCGACTCCACAAACCGACTCCAGTACGGACCACTACCCCGATCCGGACCACCATCCCGGTTCGGACCCTGACTCCGGTCCGGGCCCCAGCCCCAGCCCCAGCCCCAGTCCCAGCCTCAGTCCCAGCTCCAACCTCAGCCCCAGCCCCAGCCCCAGTCCCAGATCCACTCCCAGCTCCAACCTCAGCCCCAGCTCCAGCTCCAACCTAAGCCTCAGCCCCAACAACTCCACTCTTATCCGCATCCTCATGCCCATCCGCATCCGCATCCCCATCCCCATCCGCACGCTCACCCGCACGCGCACCCGCACCCACACCAACTACCGCACCCGCATCCACAACCGCACTCGCAGCTGCACGGCCACCGGCTTCTCCGCAGCACCTCCAATTCTGCCTGAAGGGGGCAGCAATCGGGCCAGACAAGGTAAGGTCCGGGCACCGAGGAGTGTGGGTCGCGTAGGTGTCGGGAGGGTTAGGCTCTTGGACCGATGAATGAGAAATCATTCCCAGTTTCTGGGGAGGTGGAAAGAAGAGAAGCAAGTTAGAGGCAGGAGAGGCCGGGCAGAGCCGGGAGGATAGAGGGGACAGGGAGGCCTCACGGACTGTGTCCCCGCGCACCCAGCTCGCCCTCTTTCAGGGATGCGGTCTGCTGTGTGTCCTGGAGGTAACCATGCTGGTGGTGTCTTTGAGCACACTTTGTCCACTGAACTGGCCTGAAGAGAACTGGGTCCTGGAGGATTCGGAGCCACCTGCTTCATTCAGTGTCATTTCTTTCCAGGTTTTGAGGACTTGAGGAAGTGGGACGAACACATTTCTATTGTCTTCATTGGGATAGAAAACAAAACTATCTCCCCGCCCCGCACCAGATCAAGTAGTTTGGACACTACCTGACTGATAACTTGGCGATTCCTCTTAGTTTTCTGTATATCCTCCATCACGATGCAGGAAACGATTTCAAGTCAAGAAGACTTTATTTATGAACCTTTGAAAGGATCTTATAGTACGGTGGACCTCCTAGGAGCAATGATGTACTGTAATTTTATTTTAATGTATTTTGAGTTATGATTATTTATTAGTTTTTTTTTTTAATGCTTGTTCTAAGACATTTCTGAATGTAGGCCATTTTCCAAAAAAGGAAAGTTTATTTTCAAGACTTATATCCTAGCAAATCCTAATCTTAGGGGAAGAAAAGGGGGGCGGTGGAGGGGGAAGTATTAAGAATGCATTCATTATTCCTAGGGCATTTTCAAAAGGTCTGACGCTTTCATTGTTACACCAGGTGATTAAATTAAACTGATATTACCCCCCTTTTTTGAGACTTTTTCCATGTGGACTACTATATATATATATATCCTTCCCGAATCCGACCTTACCTTTGAATCCGCCGCCAGAACCTGCTTCCGGGGCAGCTTTGTCTCCTAAGGGTTCTGCGCCAGCGCCGAGTCTGAGGCATGTCCCGTCTGTCACCAACTTAGATTCAATCACCAACTTAGATTCAGCCAGACCCGTCCGAGAGCCCCTTCCCGCACTCACTCCCCCGGCTACGGATACCCTGGAGCCCGCGCTTGGGCCCACCCCGGGGGCAGACCTCTCAGCCACCGAGTTGACGGATTCCCCGATTCCTGGACCTGTGCCGGCGCCCACTCTGGGGACCATCCCTTCAACCATCTCCTTACCGGTCTCTGCCACCACCCTCGCCTCCAATGAGAATTTCCAAACGGACAGCAGAATCTTGATTCGAGTGGTCTACTGGTGAGGAGCTGCTCCCGCCCACACCCGCCTTCTTCCTGGGCAAAGGGCAGGGTGAGAGGGGAGCTGGGGCTCTGGGGAAGGGCAAAGGAAGGAGTCAGAGCCCCTGAGTCTTAATCCCCCCATCCGCAATCTGGCTGTGTGCTTTTATTCCTTCACCGCCATTCATTCCTTCACAGTCGTTCGTCATTCGCTCATTCCATCTCATTCACTAACTCATTCAGTCATGGTCATTCGAGTTCATTCATTCACTCATTCAATCACAGAATTCATTTGGTCTCATTCATTCATCACATCCATTCACTCTCACCTATCATTTGTCTACTTGCATTCATCCATCATTCATGCTCATTATTCATTGACTCATTTGTGTGATTCTCCACTGTTTCATTCATTCTTTTTAATTTTTTAAAGAGATTTTGTGCTATAAGATGCATGTGTGTGCTGGAGAGACAGAGAGGGAGAAAGTGAGAAATCACCCCCCAGGTGGATGGCCATCTTCTGTTCTCTTTTTGGGATCTTGGGCATGCATGCACATGCCCCTGCACGAGTTTCAAATCACCAGGTCTGGGAATCAAACCGTGGTTGCTGTGTGGGAGTCTAGTACCTTAACCGCTATGCCACTACCAGTCCATTCATTAATTCTTTTTTTTTTTTAAAGTTGTTTTATATAACTTTATTTATTTATTTTAATTTGACCAGAGAAGGACAGAGATCAGAGAGAGAGAAAGAGAAAAAGTGATAAGCCGTCAGGTCCAGGCCTTGATCTACTTTTCATTCATTTTTTGTGTGTGTGAGATTTTTTTGGTATAGGGCATATGCACTTACCAGAGAGACAGAAAGCGAGAAATCACCCCCCTCCCCCCAGGGTTGGGGGGGGGAAGATGGCCATGCTTCAATCTCTTCTTCTTCATTCTCTTCTTGGGATTTTGGGCACACGTGCACATGTGCCCAGCATGAGTTTTAAACCTCCATGTCTGGGACTCAAAACACAGTTGACTATGTGGGAGTCCAACCATGTAACAATTACACTTTTCTTATTCATTCATCTGAGTATGTCCACCATGCCAGGCCTTTTCTGGAGGACAGAAAGTTAAGTAGAGCATCCTGTTTGGTTCCCCGGGGCCAAGCCTGGCAATCCAGACCCAAAGGCAGCATGCATTACTGCTGATGGATGACCTGCAGTAGGACATAGGCGGGCTTAGACCAGATGGGCCAGGACAGCCTTTCTCAGGAGGCAGTACCTGAGCTGCCACTTCTCAGCCATTAGGAGGCTGCCAAGTGCAGGAAAAGCCAGGGGAAGGTGGTCAAGGTGGCAAGGTAGTGCCAGCAGAAATGCCCAAGTCAGAGGAGGCTGATCGAGTTCTCCTTTGCAGACAAAGTCCTCTCTCTCTCTTTTTAAAAAGAATTATTTTATTTAACTTTATTCATTCATTTATTTTAATTTGACCAGAGAGTGACAGGGTGAAAAAGAGACAGAGAGGAAGAGAAAGCGAGAAAGCAAGCAACCAGGTCTGGGACTCAAACCACAGTAGGTCACGTGGGATTCCAGTGCTCTTAACCACCATGGCACCTGATGGGTCCCATTTTTAAAAAAAATTATTTTATTGGGAACCAGCAGTTAGCGTAATGGCTATGTCGCTGGACTCCCACGTAGTCGACCGCGGTTCGTGTCCCGGACCCGGTGGCTTAAAACTCACGCCGGGCGCGTGTGCATGTGTGCCCAAGATCCCGAGAGGAGAATGGAGGAGAAGGGATTGCGGCGTGACCATCCCCCCTGAAAAAAAATATTTTATTGTGACCAGCAGGTGGCGTGGTGGTTAAGGTGCTGGACACTCCCACATGGCCGATCATTGTTCGAGTCTGAATGAATGAATGAATAAATAAATCTTTAAAAAATTATTTTATTTAACTTTATTTATTTTAATTTGACCAGAGAAGGACAGAATGGTGGTGGTGGGGGAGTGAGAAAGCAAGCTACCAGGTCAGGACTTGAACCGTGGTTGGTCATGTGGGGGTTCAGCACTCCTAGCCACCATATCACCTGCTGGTCCCATTTTTTTTTTTTTTTTTTTGAGAGACTTTTGCTATAGGGAGCGTGCACTCATTGGAGAAACAGAGATGGAGAGACAGAAAGTGAGAAATCACCCCTGGGGGGGATGGCCACATCACAATACCTTCTCTCCCATTCTCCTCTTGGGATTTTGGACATGCATTGACACATGCCTGGCCTGAGTTTTAAGCTGCCAGGTCTAGGACTTGAATCACAGTCAACTATGGGGAGTACAACCACATAGCCATTACACCATCTCATGTCCTCTGGGCCTCTTTTTGGATCAATAGCAACAATAAGAACAGTCATGGGGCCAGCAGGGGGTGTGGTAGTTAAGGCACTGGACTCCCATATGGCCAACCATGGTTCGAGTTCTGGACCTGGTGGCTTGCTTTCTCACTTTCCCTCCTCTGTCAGTCACTTTCTCTGGTGAATGCACATGCCCTATAGCAAATTAAAATAAATAAATAAAATAATTATTAAAAAACAAAAGAGAGACAGAACAGTTACAGCGCTAACCTTCCTTGACCTCCCCAAGCTCTGGGTCTGAATGTGCAGAGGATGGGGCAATGTCTTCCTCTCCAACCCCCATCTCTCCACTGCTCTGGAAGGCTTTGACCCCTTGTGTTTCCCTGTCTCATTTACCTTTCTTCTATCTCTGCCTGGGCTATCTCTCCCATTATCTCTCCCTCCCAGTTCTCTGTCTCTTTCTCAGTGTTGGGTGTCTTTCTCTTTCTCTCTCAATTCCTTTATCTCCCCCTTGTCTCCTCTTCGCATCTCCTCTTTTCTCTTCTATGACTCCACGGATTCATTCAACTGTTTCTCTCTTTTTTTTAAAAAAAGAATTTATTAAATTTTATCATTTAAAACAAAAATATATTTATTTATTTGTTTATTTTTATATGAGCAGAGAGGGATGGAGTGAGAGAGAGAGAGAGAGAGAGAGAGAGAGAGACAGAGAGAGAGGTCCGGGACTCAAACCACAGTCAACCATGTGGGAGTCCAGTGCCCTTAACCACCACATCACCTGCTGACCCCTTATTCTTATTATTTAAAAATTTTTTGATTTTCATTTTTTTTTCGCAAGCGTCCTTTTAAAAAATTTTATTTATTATTGTTATCAGTCTGCTACAGGGCATGCATACCCACTAGAGGGAGAGAAAGTGAAAAAGCAGGCTGCTGGGGAACCAGCAGTTAGTGTAATGGCTATGTCGCTGGACTCCCACGTAGTTGACTGCGGTTCGCGTCCTAGACCCGGTGGCTTAAAACTCACGCTGGGCGCGTGTGCGTATGTGCCCAAGATCCCGAGAGGAGAATGGAGGAGAAGGGATTGCGGCGTGACCATCCCCCCTGGGGGGTGATTTCTCGCTTTCTGTCTCTATGTCTCTCTCTGTCTGTCTGGCGAGTGCACGTGCCCTGTAGCGAAAAACCTCTCCAAAAAAAAGAAAAAAAGAAAAAAGAAAAAAAAACAAAAAGCAGACTGCTAGGTCTGGGACTTGAACTGCAGTTAGCCATGTGGGAATCTAGTACCTTAACCACCACGCCACCTGCTGGCCCCTATTATTATTATTTTTTTTTAATTCACCAGAGATGTGAGAAAGAGAGGTAAAATGAGAAGGTATGCTGCCAGGTCCTGGGCTTGAACTGTGATAAGCCATGTGGGAGTTCCCAGTGCCTTAACCACCATACCACCTGCTGACTGACCTTCAATAACTATTTCTTTCTTTCTTTCTTTTTTTTTTTTTTTTTGAGAGACTTTCACTATAGGGTGCATGCACTTGCTGGGGAGACAGAGAGACAGAAAGAGAGAAGTCCTCCCCCAGGGTGGATGGCCACACTGCAATCCCATCTCTTCCACTCTCTAGGGATTTTGGGCACGCATGCACTTGTGCCCTGTGCGAGCTTGAAAGCTGCTGAGTCTGGACTTGAATCGCGGTCGACCACATGAAAATTCAGTGCCTTAACCACAACGCCACCTGATGGCCCCCCAACTACTATTTCTTAAGTATCTGTGTATATCAGGCCCTGTTCTTGGCATTAAGGACACAGCAGGGGGGCCAGCAGGTAGCGTTGAGGTGCTGGATTACCACATGGTCGACCACAGTTTGAGTCCCAGATCTGGCAACTTGCTTTCTTTCTCTCTCTCTAGTCAAATTAAAAAAAAAAAAAATAGGACCAGCAGATGGCATGGTGGTTAAGGTTGGCTGGGTTCCCATGTGGCACATACAGAGACAGAGAGACAGAAAGCGAGAAATCACCCCCCAGGGGGGATGGTCACGCCGCAATCTCTTCTCCTCCATTCTCCTCTCGGGATCTTGGGCACGCACACGCACCAGGCGTGAGTTTTAAGCCACCGGGTCCGGGACGCGAACTGCAGTCGACTACGTGGGAGTACAGCGACATAGCATTACCCTAACTGCTGGTCCCAAAAATAAATAATTCTTAAAAACAAACAAACAGACAAAGGACACAGCAGTGAACACGAGAGAGATTCCTGTCCTTGTGGTGCTGGTGTGTGGGGGGGTGAGCAACAAACCATAAAATATGACCCAGAGTAATGCTCTTAAATAGGAGAAGGTGATCAGTGCTAGGACAAAGGCCCCGTGGGGGTCACAATGTCAAGTAGGTGGTCAGGAAAGGCCTACCAAGAAGGTGATACATGAGGAGAGACCTGAAGAGAGAAGGAGCCATGTGGATCCCAGGGGAAGAGCACGCGGCAGAGGGAACAGCCTGTGCAAAGGCTTTGAGGCAGGATATGCCTGGAGTGTTGCGAGAAGAGTAAGGAGGTCTCTGTGGCTAGAGGAGGGCGAACCAATGGGGAGCTTGAGTGGGAAGAGAGGCATTGGCTCATGCAACCATCTGTGTGCTGTGGGAAGGACCGGGATTTGCTTTTGTTTTGCTATAGGGTGCGTGTGCTTGCCACAGACAGAGACAGAGGAGGAAAGTGAGAAATCACACCCCGGGGGAATGGCCACACTCGATTCCTTCTCCAGTCTTCTCTCAATATTTTGAGTATGCAGGCACACTCACCCACCATGATTTTCCAGCAGCTAGGTCCGAGACTTGAATCATGCAATTGGCCAGGTGGGCTCCAGCACCTTAACTTCCACGCCACCTGCTCCCTTCAGGACTGTGGGTTTTATTTACCAGTGGGATGGCACCACCAGCAGCTTCTGAGCAGGGAGGGTTGCGATCTGGTTCAGGTGCTCCCAGGGTCCCTCTGGGCTTGGGAAGATACTGATGTGGTGTCTTCCCTTGTCTGTCTCTGCCTACCTCCTCCTGCCCTTGGTCTCCAGTGGCCTCTGAAGCTATAGCCTTCGGGTGAGTACTTCTGGCTTTGGAGGCGGGAAGACCATGGGGGGAAATAAGATCAGGAGTTGCTATTTCCCCTCCCTCATGACCTCGTGACCCTTCTACATCCCTCCATCTCCTCCTTTCAGTACATCCTCCTGAAAAGCAGTCTGGAGCAGCAATTTCCAAATCGTCTGCACTTTGTAAGTGTGCTGGGGCCTGGGGGAGTTGGCAGTGGTCAGGGCTCTGAGAACCCCCGGGGACCTGGGGGGAGTTCTTAGCCTCCCTCCTCCCCAATGTTCTCTCCTCAGGAGGAGGACAGAGCTGCCCAAGCTACGGGGGAGTTTGAAGTGTTTGTGGAAGGAAAACTGGTCCATTCCAAGAAGGTGATTCCGAGCAAAGGTCCTGGACAGTAGGGAGAAAGGGAGGAGAGTGCTGGGGCCCTGGGAGATGGGCGATACATCTGCATGTTTTCTCTCCCCTCTGTGCCCAGAAAGGTGATGGCTTTGTGGATGAGGCCAGGCTGCGGAAAATCGTGAGCATAATCAATGAAGAGATCAAGAAAAGGTAGCAGGCAGCTGGCAGAGCTGGAGGTGAGCTGAAGCTGGGATGGGAGGAGACTGGCTGAGGGTGAGTGGGCAGGGGCCAGGCGCTCTCTGGGGACCGAGACACGCTTGGCCTGTCCTCATTGTTATAATGATAAGGCACCTACATCTTTTTTTTTTTTTCTGAGCCTTACTTAGCTCATCTGTAAAATGGGTTATTGAGACAATTCCTGGAGATGATTCATATCAGAAATAAATGACAGCTTAGAGTAGGCTCAGTGTATGTCAACAATATACTTTTATTCCCCTAGGAGCATACTTTTTTTTTTTTTCCTTTTTTGGAGAGGTTTTTGCTATAGGGTGCGTGTGCTCACCAGACAGACATAGAGAGACATAGAGACAGAAAGCGAGAAATCACCCCCCCAGGGGGGATGGCCACGCTGCAATCCCTTCTCCTCCATTCTCCTCTCGGGATCTTGGGCACGCACGCACATGCACCTGGCGTGAGTTTTAAGCCACTGGGTCCGGGACAAGAACCACGGTAGACTACGTGGGAGTCCAGCGACATAGCCATTACGCTAACTGCTGGTCCCAAAGCATAATTTTTTTTTTTTTTGAGAGGTTTTTGCCATAGGGTGCATGCGCTCACCAGAAAGAGAGAGAGACAGAGAGACAGCAAGAAATCACCCCCCAGGGGGGATGGCCATGCCGCAGTCCCTTCTCTTCCATTCTCCTCTCATGATTTTGGGTATGGATGTACACGTGACCGGCATGAGTTTCAAACCTCTGGGTCCGGGACTCAAATAGCGGTTGACCACATGGGAGTCCAGTGCCTTAACCACTATGCCACCTGTTGGCCTCCAAGAGCTTATTTTTTTTTAAGCTTTTAGTCATAAAGCTGTGCTATCCAGTAACAGCATGTGGCTTGTATATTTAAAATGCAGGGCCAGCCGGTAGCATGGTGGTTGAGGTGCTGGACTCCCATGGCCAAACGTGATTTGAGACATAGACCTTGCGGCTTCTTTTCTCACTTTCTCTCTGTCTGTGGTGAGCACATGAGCCTTATAGCAAATTTAAAAAATAATAAATACAATGAAATAGATAATCCTTTTAAAAAATATAATTTGGGCTGTGGCCAGCAGAGGGCCTAGAGGTTAGGGTGCTGGATCCCGCATGGCTGGCTGTGTGGTTTGAGCCCTTGACTGAGGCTTGAAAATCATACCAGATGCTGTGTGTGTGCATGCTCAAAATACCAAGAGGAGACTGGAGAAGGGATTGTGGCCTGGCCATTCCCCCTGGGCGGTGGTGATTTCTCACTTTCCTTATTTCTCTGTCTCTGTCTCTGTCTTTCTCTGGTGAGTGCACACTCTATAGCAAAAGCTAAAAAACAAAACAAAACAAAAATGTAATTAGGGTCAGCTCTGTGGCACAGTGACAACACACAGCTCAAAAGCACTGGATTCCCACAGGGTGACCTTGCTTTGACTCCTGGGCCTGGTCAGTCTGAAACAAGCTGGGCGTGCATGGGGGTGCCCAGGATCCAATGGGCTGAAGGACTGAAGGAAAGAATGGCAGTGTGAGCAAACCTATGTAGTGGGCTCCTTTTGCTCTCTCATGCATGTACATGTGCTCTCTCATGAGTAAAGAAAAGCAAATTGGAAAAGTAAGAACTAAGAAAATGAGGGATTGGCATGTGGCATGGTGGTTAAGATGCTGGACTCCCACATGGCCAACCATGGTTCGGGTCCTAGACCTGGCGGCATGCTTTCTCATTCTCTCTGCTTCTCTCTGGTCAAATTGAGTAATAATAATAATAATAATTACAATAAAATAAAAAATTCCATAAAAAGATATTTAAAAAAATAAATAAGAAAATTAATTAAAATTAAATATGCTGGGATTAGCAGGTGCCGTGGTGGTTAAGGTGCTGGACTTCCACATGGCCAACTGCAGTTTGAGTCCCAAACCTGGTGGCTTGCTTTCTCACTTTCTTTCTCTCTGGTGAGAATATGTGTCCTGTAGCAAATTATTAAACAATAATAATGATAAATAAAATTAAATAATTATTTAAAAATTAAATATGTTGAAAACTCAGTTCCTTGGTCACACTAGCACATTTCAGGTGTTCAGTAGCCACACGTGGTAAGTGGACTAGACTGATTCTACCGTGAAGGATCCTGTATTAAATGGGAGATACACAACTTGGAATTCATAATGGGAGAAAGTTCTACTGGTAACATTGTTCTAAGGTATTAAAGTATATGCATAATAATTTTTTTGCTACCCAGACTAGACTTTTTTTTTTAATTTACTAGAGGGCAGTTGCTGGTATCAGAAAGAGAAAGTGAGAAAGCAACCCTGCCCCCCCAATGGGAGATGGTCATTCTGCAATCTCTTTTCCTCCATTTCTCCTTTGGGGATTTTGGACAGGGACACACACTCATCTGGTGTTTTTCAAGCAGTTGGGACCAGAACTTGAACTGCACAGTTGGCCATGTGGGATCAGCTGCCTTAACCACACCATCAGCTGGCGTAGACGTTTTTCTTTTGAAAACAGAATCTTGCCATGTCACGATCCTTCTGCCTCAGCCTCCCAGCTGGGACTATAGGCACAGGATACCAAACTCAGCTTCTTGTTTTTTAGTTTTTGTGATAGGGCCCAGGCACCGACCAGACAGAGAGTCAGAGAGACAGAGATGGAAAATAGAAATCACTTTCCAGGGAGAATGACCATGCTGCAATCCCTTTTCCTCCATTCTCCTCTTGAGATTTTGGACACTCATGCACATGTGCCTGGTGTGATTTTTTTTTTTTTTTTTTGAGACTTTTTGCTATAGGGGGCATGGCCTCGCCAGACAGACAGAGAGACAGAAAGAGAGAAATCACCCCCCAGGGGGGATGGCCACGCTACAATCCCTTCTCCTCCATTCTCCTCTCAGGATCTTGGGCACGCACGCACATGCGCCCAGTGTGAGTTTTAAGCCACCGGGTCCGGGACGCGAACCGTGGTTGACTATGTGGGAGTCCAGTGACATAGCCATTACGCTATGGTCCCACGCCTGGTGTGATTCTGAAGCTGCTGGGTCTGGGACCCAGACCGTGATTGGCTATGTGGGAATCCAGCATTTTTACCATGCCACCTGCTGGCCCCAGCTTTTTATGTTTGACTTTTGCCAGTGGGCATGTGCATTTGCCACTAGACAGACATGAGTGGGTGGGATGGTGAGAAAGCACCTCTCATGCAGAGGTGGTCATGCTGCGATCCCTTCTCCATTCCTCCCTACTTTAGGGATATTGGGCATGCACACACACACACCTGGTGTGTTTCTCGAGCCATCAGATCCAAACCATGCAGCCTGCCATGTGGGATCAAGTTCCCTTGACCATTGCACCACCAGCTGGTCGCACCCAGCTCCCTTTTAAAATAAGATCTCCCTGTGTTGCCTAGGCCAGCCTTGAGCTTGTGATCCTTCTGCCTCAGCCTCCTCAGTTGCTAGGATTATAGGCATGTGCCATTGTGCCCAGTGTTTAGGTTGGACCAGGAATTGAACCTGTGTCTCCCATGTGGTCCCAACCTGTGGAGCATGGTATCTTAGCAATGTGTGCCACCACAGTGGGCCCAGTGGTGATTTTTTTTTTTTTTTAAGAGAAATTTTTGCTATAGGGGAGCACGTGCTCACCAGAGAGACAGACAGAGAAATAGACAGAAAGTGAGAAATCATCCCTGGGAGGATGGCCATGCCATAATCTCTTCTCCTCTTAAGATTTTAGACATGCATATGCACCCAGCAAGATTTTCAAGCCACCAGGTCTGAGACTCAAACCATGGTTGACCATGTGAGAGTCCAGGACCTTAACCACCATGCAACTGCTAACCCAGGTCCACACTTTTTTTTTTTTTTAAGAGAAATTTTTGCTATAGGGGAGCACGTGCTCACCAGAGAGACAGACAGAGAAATAGACAGAAAGTGAGAAATCACCCCTTGAGGGGATGGCCATGCCACAATCTTTTTTCCTCCATTCTCCTTTTGGGATCTTGGGCATGCATGCACATACACCCAGCGTG